TCTTTTTCTCTCTCTCTTTCTTTCTTTCTTTCTTTCTTTCTCTCTCTTTCTTTCTCTCTCTCTTTTTCTCTCTCTCTCTCTCCCTCTCTTTCTTTCTTTCTCTCTCTTTCTTTCTCTCTCTCTTTTTCTCTCTCTCTCTCTCCCTCTCTTTCTTTCTTTCTCTCTCTTTCTCTCTCTCCTTCTTTCTTTCTTCCTTTTTCTTTTTTTGCATTAACTCATTGTCCAAGACAAAGCAACCAACCAATCAACTAATATGACAGCTTCTTAATTTTGTCTGCTTTTTATCAGCTCAGACCTTTTGGGGGGGACCGAATTACAACAAAGTTTTGTGGCCACGTAACAACCACCCAGTGGTTGCTTCGTCCATGAATTACGCCCTGCTTCGGCTGACTTGGCCGCGGTAGAGCAGGGGGAAAAGAATCAGCCCCTGTTACGGTCCCCATGCAACAAACTGCAGATATGCACAGAAAGATGTTTCAAAGGGGGAAAGCGGCTTTTTTTCCTAGGCAGGACTGCTGTGCCTTGACCTGTCCTGCCCTGTGGATGAAACAGTGGGAGAAACTCGAGGGGAGAGGAGTTAAATCAAGGCCAGGAGTCTTTTGTTTGCAACTTGCCTAGTGCCGGCACACAAGCCATCCCCAAAGGTGAATTGCTGGCCGGCGGGAGGCATTCGAGCCTGCTCCTTCCTGCAAGCATCAACCTGTCCACTCCACCGGCTGACTTCACCGGCGGCTTTGTGGCCGCTGCAGGGCAGAAGACGCAACCCGTCGTCAGGGCTCTGATTCTTTGAAGCTGTTTGTTATTTCCTCTTTGGTTCCCCCCCACACCCAACTGCTCTTTGCCTCCTTGTCACTTTAATTCTCCAGTTCCCTCCCTCCCTTCTTTCTAGTTGGCTAGACTCTCTCCTGATGCGCGCCGGTGCCCTCTCCAACCTCCAGGTGCACTGCAGTTGGCAGCAGGAAACTGGCAGCCTCGCTCGCCTACCTGGGGATCCCAGCATGGCGATGGCGCCAGGGCCAGCTTGGGTTCCCCGCTGGATCTGGGCCCACCGCTCTCTGGAGAAGGCCCTCCAGGGACTGACCAAGCTGCAGCACCTGGTGAGCCAGCCCCAGCTGCGCCTCCGGAACAGCCCGCCTCACCTGCCCTACCTCCTGCCCCAGATCCACCAGCACCTGAGGCTCATCCGGGAGCATTACGGGGCCAGCTTGGGCCAGCTCTGGGAGGGTGACGTCTTTCGCATCTTTCTCCTCAACCTGCTGGAAAAGATTAAGGAAGCCAAGTGGCTTTTCAAGAGGGAGAAGGACAAGGACAAGATTTTTCAGGAGGGCTCGGCTGCCAGGTAAAAATAATAATAATAATAATAATAATAATAATAATAATAATAATAATAATAATAATA